GTATTCAGGATTATATACATAATGCATTTTCATTGTTGATCGTGCGGTTTTCGCGGAAACAGATGAATAATCAAATTGGTAAACATATTTGCTGTTCCGTACAAATATACGCATTTAAAATAAGACGATGAAATGAGCAAATATAATATTAATTCTATCACCTGTTCTCTATTGAAATGTTAGTTTTTTCCCTCTTGATTATAACAACAACACCCGATAGAAGCGTTTCGCAAAGACAATATATATTTTTATATGGGGACCTATAAATATGTCAATATAATCGCAAACGTTTCACGTAGCTAAAGAACTCAAGTATTATTTTATTTGAATCACTTGAAACCTGCTAATAACCATATAAAAACGACAGGTATTATATTTATATAGTCCGTACACAGAGGAGAGTGGATAAAGGAAAGAAGAAAGATATCCTCGACAGCTTCTCCTTCTTAGATCTTACTTTTACGAAATTTGATTTCTCCATTTTGTATGTATGAGTGAATCTCCGCGTTTGTGTGCGTATGAGAGTATGTGTGTTCACAAGTGATCTAACGTTGGATTGTTATGAATATATTGTTTATTAGTAAGTAATGGAGTTGCTGCTGTTTCCGCGATTTGCGTTTGATTGAGTTCAAAGCTTTTATATTGTCGTGTTTTCATTAAAGTGAAACACCCGCGATGACGGTCCTGCATATATATATATATCTACGACACATCTCCCCACATTATACGTAAAGTTGTGTATATACTAGGTGTGCAGCAATGAAGAGGTCATGATTGTGAACCTGTTCACCTTTCTTGTAGAGAAAGCTGATTCCCGCAGTCGAACCCGCTGCCGCACGATACTTTTAGAAGTTGACTCAAAACTACCACGCGGACCCAATAGATATCTTTCTTTTATATAGTTTTTTTTCTTCTTTACCAATTGATATTGATTTGTTTTCTTTTTTCTTTTGTTGAATTATAGGATCTCGTTGCGAGGATGCAGGTGATGAACGTTTGCACGATGACGGTGCTCGCTGTCGTACTGGTCGAGATGTCCTGGTGGACGTCGGCCTCAGAAGTGCCGAAACAATTTGAGGACAATCTAATGTCCATTCTAGGACTCCACAGGGGACCAAAGATTGACCGCAGCAAGGTTATGATTCCCAAAGTGATGGTCGATCTCTACGAGAGGCAGACTGGTCAAAAACTTGACACCACGTCCATCCTGAAACCTGGAGTACACACTCACACTGCGAACACGATGCGAAGCTTCACACATATAGGTAATATTATTATTATCATCATCATCTATCACAGTTCAAATCGATAATATTGGCGCGAACTTTAACCACTTTAGTGCAAGTATAAGGTTTTAGTTATTTATTCGCTGCATGTATGTAATTTGCAAAATGCATCCGAGAAGATGCGAAATAATATAAATTCTATTTTTCTTGTTTATCTGGTTAGAAGCTGTCCTTAGTTCGCGCGTATCTTGTCTAGCTCCCAGTACATAGAGATGTAATTACAGTGATTATTTTATTTATAGATTGCGGTATGTTGAAACTCGACTGTGTTTGTATCATGTGTATATGTGTATGCGTTGTTTCGGTGTACGTCCTACATCACCACTATCCGACGGTAAGGTAGCGAAAGTGGGACGTTATACAACCGCAACTCGGCTCGGCTTCGAAAACAATTTGTAGATGATGCTGAAACTCACGAAAATCATAAGAAAAATTATGAATTTCTCGATTACTTCAAATTTTCTTTCATATTTAAGTTTTTATATAACTTTTTAATAGAAAATAAGTAAAGTCGCCGTCATGCTTATTGCAATATATTGTATTTCTATTATTCGCTTGTACAAAGAACACGAAGGTTCCAAAATCTTCTAAAAGCATTCATAATATTTATATTGATTATACAAATTCTAATCTGATCTTGTATTTTTTTTGGCTACTTGCAGAAAGTCCAATCGATGCTCGTTTTCGTGGACATCACAAGTTTCGTTTGAAGTTCGACGTGACTAACATACCAGAAGGAGAGCTCTTGAAAGCAGCTGAACTCACTCTCAACAGGGACGTGGTGAATTGGTTGGCGCATGAAGACCAAGACGACTTCTACCAGCAGGTTCTAGTATATGATATAAGGAAAGTGGGCATCAAAGGGAAACAACGTCCGACGAAAAGATTGATCGACTCAAAACCGGTGGACATTAGATTGAACAAGACCCTGAGTTTGGATGTGTTGACCGCAGTGCGTAGATGGATGGCGACGCCGAAGAGTAACAACGGATTGCTGGTGGAGATCACTGGACACGGGAAGAAAAAACCTTCGAAACATGTGAGATTGCGCAGAGATACGGGGGAGAACAACAGTAGTTGGTCCGGGAAGCAACCGTTGCTCTTCACATACACGGACGACGGACGTGATAAACATGTGGTTGGAGAAGCGTTGGCAGCGAAGAGGGCACGGAGGGCATCCAACAGGAAGAAGAAGGGTAAAAAGGAGACGCGCGAAAACTGCAGGAGGCTCTCGATGTACATGGACTTCGCAGCCGTCGGTTGGAACAATTGGATCGTAGCACCGCAAGGTTACGATGCGTTTTATTGCCACGGGGAATGCAGTTTCCCTCTGGCAGAGCACCTTAATACGACGAACCACGCAATTGTGCAGTCCCTCGTCCATTCCGTGAACCCCCGCAAGGTTCCCAAACCGTGCTGCGTTCCAACGCAGTTGAGCGCCATTTCCATGCTCTACTTGGACGACGAGAACAAAGTGGTGCTGAAGAACTACAGGGAAATGGCAGTCGTCGGCTGCGGGTGTCGGTAGTGCACAGTTTATTTATTCCGCGTCTGTGATCTGACTTTTTAAGGAGGCTACTGTAGTTTAAGGATTGATCCCCGCGCGGCTCAACGATGCAAACAAAAGCAACCCTCCAGTTGAGATGAAAAGTGCATACTTGATTATAATACAATAATGTATGTAAAAAAAAGAGCAACAAGAAAAGAAAAGAAAAAACAATTAAATTATTCCTAAATTATTGTGGTGATGTGTTTTAAATATCGGAGCCGCCGACCCAGTGTAATATTATTTTTTTTTATAATAATAATAATAATTATTTTTTTATAAATAATAACTGACTTGAACGTCTGACGTTATCCTCATCTGTGATTGTAATTTTAACTAATTAGACATTAAAAAAAAAAAGAGAAAAGAAAAATAATTTCTTTTTTTATATATATATATATTTAAAAAAAAAATATATGTATAGAATTATATTATGTACACCAAGAATCACGTGAATGAAACGTGAATATGTCTCATACTCGATATGTGAAAGTCTAAATTACTAAAGTGCCTGCCTGCATCGGCACTCGAGTCATATATGTAATATATTAGTACCTGCGTAAGGATATTTATTCAAACTCTTAATCTATAAATTATTAAATAAATAAAAAAAAAATGGTAAATTAATTTACGTAAAAAAAAATCGAATACAGTACTAAAAAAAAAATAATTAAATATATATATATATATATAAATAAATAGGAAGAAAAACGATATTAATTTAAAATTAAACTCTTGTGTATATTGTACAGTGAAGTAATTAAGGGATGAACAATTATAGAAACAAAAAAAAAACTGAATACTAAAACACCAGCAATAGAATAGAAGGATCAGTGTATTATTATCTTCGATCGTGTAAAGTGCCCGAGGACTTTCTTCTTTCTTTTAAATATCATTTGTATAAATAGTTTTTAAGGATTGTGTAAGGAGTTTTTCACTAGTTTCTTTTGTACAGACTGTATATATTAAAATTTTAAATAATTATTACAAATCATTGTGTTTTGTTGTCACCTTCACATTTTTCTAAACCTGTTTTTTTCCCGTACACATTTATTTGCATATCACAATATGGTAATGGCATTATAGAATGTTTCTTTCCAGGCGCGCGCTAGATGTGGAAATACAGATCGAAATATATATATATATCTACGTGTGTCCGAGAGTTGTGTGTATTTAACAAGTAACGGTGAAAATATTACACCTAATCTGCGCGCTGCGAGGCCCACAATGGACACGTCCATCAATCAACCACAAACTCTCCTTTGACTTAATGATATTTATTCCACTAGAAAAAAAATCTACACATACACTACACATCGGCTCACACACATACAAGCCACAGATAATATTCAAACACGAAACGATTTCAAGCAATTTTACACAGTACCAAAGACTAATGTCGCAATCGTTGACTTATTTGTCGCCGAAAGTTCGTACTTCGATTTACACCTCAAGCAATGAGGGTAAACATCAGCAACCGTGTCTATTAAAAATCGCAGACTCGTGTTATTATTCGTCACGAATAAGTGGCATCGAAATTCTCGTGATAGCATTGCAATTAACTTTGTTTAGGTTTTTACTTCGTGGACTTTGTCGTGATTGTGAGCTAGAGGGGATGTTTCAACTCCTCGGCCGTACCCTCGTTTCGGCCAGCTGCAGACCCCCAGTTGATTCGTATACGACTATTCTGATCTTCAAGTGGTTTACCACTTTTGCTAATTCAGTCAGAGCTGACATTTCTGCGTTCGTTTTAGCTACCGTCGATGCCTTCTGGGGTTTCATCAAAAGTATGCCAATATCATCTGCTGGTTGAGCCAGCAATCTGATCCAACGTAACATTTCCACAGCCTGGATGGCGCGCATGTTAGATGGCAAGCGTCCTAGCCAAAGGGTTTTGAAAAACTCCTTCGGGATTTGCTTGACCGCTCGATCAGGGCTTTACTTTCGGTGTGTGGATAGCTTTTTTTATTACGTCCAACACCACTCGCATGTGATTTTCGTCCAAGTTCGTACGAGAACTTAGTTGCGTCTTTGGAAACAATCCGCTTTGAAATTAAGTTCCAACAAGGCGAACCATGCTTCTATATCACAAGATATCAATATTGGACAAACAAACGTAAACCGATCCACTTGAGCGTTCTCCATTTTGTTTACAATTTACATGGAAAAATCAATCACGGTGGGACCACCAATTTATACGGATAGGAGTGGAATTTTCGAAGGAAAAACGTTTAAGTTCAGAACGGTGGTATTCACATACAAGTACAATTAAAGGCACAACAATTGGCAAACAATACAGAAAACCTTAACGGAGACACGAGAGAAGAGAGAGAGATTATCTGCCCTTCCTGGAATTTCCCTGCAACGGGGAATTATTCTTTTTGAAGTAATGGATCATAAAATAGTGGTAGTTCCCGCCTCTATGAATTAATTCGTTCTGATTATTAATCCTAAAGTACAAAATCGTGAAATAAAAACTCATTTTACATAAATATGTAATTTTTTATTATTTAAAGAGATTTATATCAATTATTATTAATACTTACACAATGTATTTATTTTGAAATATTGATTAATAAAAAATTAAAATGAACTCAATTAAAATTACGCAAAATTAGGTTGTGCTTTATAAAAATAGATCAAAGCGGCGGACAGTCGTGTTCAAAAATACATTGTCCATGAGTGACTGAGTTTGTTGAATATCTGTATATGTTTGGTTATGAAGATAAGTTATATGTATTGATGTGTCGTCAAGAAGGCAAGTGAGCAAAATATAGATGGAGAATGAGAATAGGGCGAGTGGCAACATCAATTGCGGTGAAATACTTAAAAAGCCACTTGAGTAGCATAATGGGACCAAAAATACGCATTCGGGAATTGTTGTAATCCATCTTCCCGCACGTGCGTACTCCCAATGGTTGGTCAAGACCCCTCACCTTAGCCAGGTAATTGGGACTGGGATCTTCAGTTGCTTTAGTCTTCAGTTAGACTTGAAGCTAGTCTGTAGTTTTAGGGTAGTGCTTGCTAGTGGTGCGTGTGTGCATTAGTAGAAATGTGCGTTTGAATAGTTTCGCCACTGGGTTTAAATTACTTCTTGAATTCTTACGGTAAGCATGGTACAAACACTGTTTCAATAAATTCAACAAAAACGAATCTCGAAATTATTGTGACATTCTTCCTTTGAATTGTCCTGTTCGTTGCAGTAAATAGAAATAAGAAATCGCGAATTTTCCAAGGAATTTCGGTGAGCGCTGACCGCGTCCGTATGTTTGCGCGAGACGTAGACAGCGTGGCGCGCGCGCGACTTAGTACAATTGTGGATCAAGATTCAAGTTTCCATAACGGACACAACACCAAGACCAAACTTGAACTTTACACAATCAGTCCACTCCGACAAATTGTTATTGATATATACACTACATCCCAACATCAACAAACAACAATAACAGAGCTTTATTATTATTAATTATTCAACTCTCATCTCTTCCAATAATCACTTAAAATGGTTCCATTATTTTCCTCCTCTTATCTATATAAAATTTTCTTAATGTATTGCTAATTTCTGCGCACATTTCGTCATATCGCAACTTGCGAAACTCATCTATCACGCAAAAGGTGCAATTTCAATTGAATGTTATTCCGAATAGGATCCAAAAGACAATTTTAATTACACAAGCGGCGTGCGTTCCCCGAAATTGAAAAGTAATAATAACGATGATGATGAAGATCATAATAATAACAAAAATATTAAAGACCACATTCTTGTGCTTCTTGTAGACTCTGTCCAAGCGCGCACTTTCACATTTTTAACGCACTTAAATCCGAATTTAAAGGCCCGAAATTTCCGCCGAAATAATTGCATTCAAATCATTTTGTATTTAGAGAAACTAGTAATGGTAGATCGTCATTGATGGTAGATAAATAATTACTTGAGTATTCAGGATTATATACATAATGCATTTTTCATTGTTGCTTTTCGCGGAAACAGATGAATAATTAAATTGGTAAACATATTTGCTGTTCCGTAGAAATATACGCACTTAAAACAAAACGATGAAATGAGCAAATACAATATAAATTCTGTCACCTGTTCTCTATTGAAATGTTAGTTTTTTTTCCCCTCTTGATTATAAAAACCGAAGGAAAAAAAGGAAGCTTTACAGCCCCTGAGGGTACGGTTTCGCATTTCGCAAACACAATATATATATTTTATATGGGGGCCAATAAATATGTCAACATAATCGCAAACGTTTCACGTAGCTAAAGAACTCAAGTATTCTTTTATTTGAACCACTTGAAACCTGCTAATAACCATATAAAAACGACAGGTATTTATTTATATAATCCGTGCACAGAGGAGAGTAGATAAATGAAGGATGAAAGATATCCTCGAAAGCCTCTCCTTCTCAGATCTTACTTTTACGAAATTTGATTTCTCCATTTTTTATGGATATGTGAATATCCATGTTTTGTGCGTATGAGTATATGTGTTTACAAGTGATCTAACGTTGAATATATTGTTTATTAGTAAGTAATGAAGTTGCTGCTGTTTCCGCGATTTGCGTTTGATTGAGTTCCAAGCTTTTATTGTTGTCTTTCAAACCGAAATACCTGGTGCTGCATATATCTACGACACATTTCCCCACGTTATACGTAAAGTTATGTGTAGCAATGAAGAGGTCATGATTGTGAACCTGTTCACCTTTCTTGTAGAGAAATCTGATTCCTACAGTCGAACCCGCTGCCGCACGATACTTTTAGAAGTTGACTCAAAACTACCACGCGGACCCAATAGATATCTTTCTTTCATGTGGATTGTTCTTTACCAATTGATATTGATTTGTTTTCTATTTTTTTTTTGTTGAATTATAGGATCTCGTTGCGAAGGATGCAGGTGATGAACTTTTGCACAAAGACGGTGCTCGCTGTCGTACTAGTCGAGATGTCCTGGTGGACGTCGGCCTCAGAAGTGCCGAAACAACTTGAGGGCAATCTAATGTCGATGTTAGGACTCCACAAAGGGCGAAAGATTGACCGCAGCAAGATTATAATTCCCAAAGAGATGGTCGATCTCTACGAGAGGCAGACTGGTCAAAAACTTGACACCACGTCCATCCTGAAACCTGGAGTACACACCCACACTGCGAACACGATGCGAAGCTTCACACATATAGGTAATATTATTATTATTATCATCATCTATCATAGTTCAAATCGATAAAATTGGCACGAACTTTAACCACTGTCCTTAGTTCGCGCGTTTCTTGTCTAGTTCCCAGTACATAGAGATGTAATTACAGTGATTATTTTATTTATAGATTGCGATATGTTGAAACTCGACTGTGTTTGTATCATATGTATATGCCTTGTTTCCGTACGTCCTACATCACCACTATCCGATGGTAAGGTAGCGAAAGTGGGACTTTATACAACCGCAACTCGGTTCGAATCGAAAACAATTTGTGGATGCTGAAACTCAGGAAAATAATAAGAAAAATGTTAAATCTCTCGATTACTAGAATTTTTCTTTCATAATGAAGCACATCAAAAACAATTTGTGAATGCTGAAACTCAGGAAAATAATAAGAAAAATTTAAATCTCTCGATTACTAGAAATTTTCTTTCATAATGAAGAAAAAAAGGGTAAAGCGACATGTTTATTGCAATACACCGTATTTATTTTATGTTGGTTGAGTGGCGCCACTTTATAAGGCTTGTACAAAGAACACGAAGGTTGCTAATATTTCTGAAAGAATTCGAAGGTAGAAATATTGTATTGTATTTTTTTTGTTTGCTACTTACAGAAAGCCCAATCGATGCTCGTTTTCGTGGACATCATAAGTTTCGTTTGAAATTCGACGTGACTAACATACCAGAAGGAGAGCGCTTGAAAGCAGCTGAACTCACTCTCAACAGGGACGTGGTGAATTGGTTGGCGCATGAAGACCAAGACGACTTCTACCAGCAGGTTTTAGTATATGATATAAGGAAAGTGGGCATCAAAGGGAAACAACGTCCAACGAAAATATTGATCGACTCAAAACCGGTGGACATTAGATTGAACAAGACGGTGAGTTTAGATGTGTTGACCGCAGTGCGTAGATGGATGGCGACACCGAAGAGTAACAACGGGTTGCTGGTGGAGATCACTGGACACGGGAAGAAAAAACCTTCGAAACATGTGAGATTGCGC